GTGTTGCATGATGTTGTGTGTGTGTACCGTGTGTTGTGTGATGTTTATTGCTGTATGTGTGCGTTCTATGATGTTGTGTGTGTGTACTGTGTGTTGTGTGATGTTTATTGTTGTATGTGTGTGTTGTATGATGTTGTGTGTGTGTACTGTGTGTTGTGTGATGTTTACAGTTGTATGTGTGTGTGCTGTGTGTTGCTTGTTGTTGCATATGCAGTTGCTGTATGTGAGTGTGTTGTTATTAACTTAGACGACGGCCCTACAAACGATGTGTGCACTACACCTGGGTTATTCTGTTGTGATAGTTGCTGTATGCCTGTTTGTTGTATGTGTAATTGTGTGATGCTAATTGCTGTGCGTACATTCTGTTTGTGAGTGTGGCATTGTTCTGAGTGTCCTTTTTTGTAGAACAGTATATGTATATAAGTATGTATGTATATATATATGTATGTATGTATATATATATATGTATGTATGTATATATATATATGTATATATATATACATATATATATGTATATATATATATGTGTGTGTATGTATGTATGTATGTATGTATGTATGTATGTATGTATGTATGCATGTATATGTATATATATATATATATATATATTTATATATATATATTTTTATATATATATTTATATATATATATTTATATGCATATAAATTATTCAAATCAGTCAATACATTAGTGAGTTAGAAATCATGCATTCACGCTTAGGCGATAGGATCAATGAACCTGCACTCTCTAAACTAATAAAAACCTCAGAATTTACGAAGTTACCCAGAGACAGCTATTTCAATATGGAAAATTATAGTTTACCTATCATTTCTTAAATTTACCTACTTGTTGTTCACAGTTACACCACTGAGTTGGCCAACGCCGAAGCTCGGGCGGAAGAGTTGGAGAGTGAATTTTTGGATGTGCGCTTGCGCATGAAAGACTCTGAGCGCAAGGCAGATGACTATGAACACTCGTATCTGGAAATCAAACAGGAGGTAAGTAATGAAGCGATTAACGCACACACACA